TAGGAGTGAAAATGCACGATCTGGTGCGAAATGCTGTTTTAAAGGAGAGCAGAGAATATCCTACTAAATTGACTGACTGGCTGCAAATAAGGCGCACAAGGTGATGGAGTCATCACATCATATGCAAAGTAGTCTCCTTGTGAACCGGACACTGAACACACAGCATAACAACTGGAGACCTCTAGGAAAACCTCAAGCAAGTTTGCCAGATCCTGCTAGAACTGACATGAAACAGGAAGGACTGAAGGGCAAGCATGCATTTTTTCGATGGGGTGAAATGCGTGTACTGCACGGCGTCTAAGAGATCGACTTCAACTTCCGGAGATGTCGGAAAGGGTTCCATTTTGGCGGAGGACAATCTTTGTGCTATGAACGAATTTGCTCGAGCAAAATAATTACTACATTTCCTCAGACCAGGATCAAAGGAACCGAGAGATTCCGAATTTGATGGGGCCACCCCATTTCTTCATTTCGAGGGTGATAAATAAGCATCATTCCGACGGAAAGAAACAGGAAACCCCATACTGTAGTTACCACATAGTCGTTGATTCTGCCATACAAATAAGGCACTCATGGTTCCCCGCATGCAAGTAAAAATCAGCGCCACACCGAGAGCTTCAAGGACTGAGGGGTATCATAGATGGCTAATAATCATGAAGGTAAAAGGAAGTCTGAGATTCCAACGGGTTACAATTTTCCCTTCCATTTTCCATTCCTAATTTCAGAATCGAGAGAGATCCTAGGTTCTCACCCTGTCGGGTAACTCGCGTTTCTTTCTTCAAAGGTTGATAAGCTTGAATCACACTATGGGAAGGAAACAGGAGACTATAGAACATGCTTGCCACGCATCTAAGGAAGACCGACATTCCAACGGTATCAAACTTTCCTTCCTTCCTTTCCTAACTGCTTTAACCGTGAACTTAAATATTTTCCATCCTAGCCGAATCAATTGTTTCTGCTTATCGCCAAATCTTGAACGACGCTCCTCATGTGCAGGTATTACGTATTTAGAGCTATGTTATCGTTTTCTTTTCTTTGTTTCACCCTTTTTCTCATTTTGAGAATATCACATCGGCAGGGGTAGTCATTCCAACGTTATTGACTCTAAAAAAAGAGGTTCATAATCCGGATATGGAGCAGCTGGTTGAGGTCAGGAAGTCGAGTATCATTGAGAATGTTGGGTTTCGAGGACGAATACGATGGCAGCATGTTGTGCATTCAGCGTTCAGATCATTTCTGAGGAAAAATGCTTGAAAAACTTGACAGGATACATGGTAACAGGTTGTTCGGCGACTGTTGCGCCGAAACGATATGGGTTTTTGGTCAGTACCCCAGATGTGACGCACAACCGTCGTCGATTCTACCGGACAGGATTTACGTTGCCTGGCAGCACCGATCGGTTCGACGGGACACGTGGCTTGTAGTGCGAGGACGACGTCAAAGAACGACCATCCTTACGCAATGAGGCTAATGGCGTGCACGACGCAAAAACGAACGCGATCGGTCGAGTAGGTCGTCAATTGAAACAGCGAAACAGAGAACCTATTTCCCTGAAAGCCATCAAAATCTGGAACGTTTCCTTCGGGGCCATTCAGGAAAAAAACGAACGGGTCGACAAGAAAAAAACGCTCTTTCCCGTAATGAAAGTCGTCCCAAAAAAGGACCCGCTTTTACTGCGCACACCCGTTTTGGACACCAGCTCGTCGAACCCATTTTGGCGACCGAGGCCGCGTACAGATTTCTCTGCTCTGATTTCGCTTGAGTACTTATTTCGTCGCCGGTTGCGACCACGACCAAGACTGCCACTGCCTTCGATCCGGTCGACTCGACGGTCAGCCAGCCTCCCGGATATCGAGCATCCACCCAGTTTCGAGCGCCAATGCCGAGGCCTGATATTACTTTAAGGTTAATTAATTGAGTACTGCCGCCCGCTGCCGCCGACACCGTCGTCGTCGCCGTCGTAGCACAGCATTCCTCGTCGTCGCGGAGTGTCGACTCTCTCTCCTGAACAGAAGAATTCCTTTCTTCCTTGCCTTCTGAGGCAACTGCGTTTGTCATCGCTCGGCATGAACTGGTATTCGCTGCTGCTCTTCACGACGGTAGTCGCCATTAAAATTCCAGAGTTTGTCAAACATCCAGGTAATTATATTTTTTCAATATTTAAATTAGCATCATCTAAACGACGTTTGATGATGGCCAGTGTTCAGTGACCAAAACGTTGGCGATGAAAGTGACAGCCTAAACAGCATATTAACTGGACGTGTCTTTCATCAGCGAACCATTACGGCTTTCTTTCGGGATCGAGACATAAGATTGGAAGAAGTTTTGTAAAGCCTAAACTGATGAGGCAAATTTCCATGTACGTGGTGAAAAAATATGAAGAAAAACTTGCAACTGTTAAAATATCGACCTGTTACCAGGCTAGGAAACTTTATTTTGACAGACTTTATGATGCATCGCTAGTCCCTGTTATTGCTCATAAGCGAGAAGTGCTTCATTACTTATTCTAGAGCTAGATTTGCAGTTAGATTACTGCAGCCGCTCATCTCTCACAAAGTGGCATTCAATCACCCACCTTTAAAGGACGAAATGCTTATGACCCAACTGAGAGAAAACCCCCACAGTTTTTCTAGTACGAATCCTGCGTTCTACCGATTCAGCTCATCGTTCTTCGTAGTTGAAGGTGGAAAGTAGTCTAGGTCCTGAATTTTATGACAAAAGACTCTGTTAACCGGAGACGACAAGATGAAAAGTGGGCGTTCCCTCCTGGTTAATTGTGGCGATCATACTGCTTTTAATAATTTCAAGGTATTTTCCGCATGTTCTCGAAACTTTATGACTCTTCCTTTAGAACAGACTCCAACAAAAGTTTTCGAAGAAAGTGTCTTTTCATATTCAGCGGTCATGAACAAGAGGATGATTCATAGTCATAAGACCCCACAGAAGTTTCAGATACAACAGAAGCATTGAATTGGCAGTGCT